TTTAGTTTAGTTGAGTTGTTTCAGTTATTATAAATATAATTTATTTAGTTGTGATTGTGTTTTTAATTGGAGTTTGAAAATTATAAAATAGGTTCAAAACTCGAGTTGTGGAATAGTTTCGATCAGTTCTTAAATCAATTGGGTTTCTCATGCCTATTTAATATCTTGATCTATACAGCTTTTACTGTTCGTAATGTTATATCCACACCATAAAACACCTTAAAACACGGCAACCCACATTCGGGAAGTAATTACCTTAAGTGTTCTTGTCTGTACCTTGAATAAACTAGAAATTATTTCTAAAAGCTACCTTCTATGGAAATCTTGTTTTCTTTCTTTTGAAATTGTAAAAGGTATTAATGGTACAATATATGTATAACTAATATAAATTTGTTAAAGGAATCTTTTATTTTAAAAATATATTTTTAAAAGCATCACTACTTAGTCTATTATAATGAAGTGTAACTGACCCACATGGTCACCAGAATTTATTAATAGATTCCGGTAGGACACCGAAATTCTAACGCCAGTGAAATAACGCGCGAATCGGGAACGGAATCACTTGACTTTGTGAGAAAGTTTTATTTATTAAAAAAGTGTTATATTAACTCATTGTTTTGCGGGACATGATTTCACCTTCTATTGAAATATAATAGAGGAATGAACGCAACACCGATGAAAACGTAACGGTCGAATGGGCTTTGTGCTGTATTAGAATAGAAATTTGGTGTTGGATTACAATTAGCTTGCTTAATATTAAAACAAATTCTATTATAACAATTATTTAATTATTGCTAGCTTTTAATCTAATTTGGTTAATTTTCTTTTTAATCTAATTTGAGAGTTTTATTTTGTAATTTATTTCTGCGACTTCTTGTGTTATTCAAGACTTATTTATAAAGATGCATCATTAGAAGAAAAGTTTGCAAATGTTTCAATCCGAATTATATTTAGCGTCCTCGGAATATTTATGTATGTTTTCAACATTCGCTTGAATTGTAAACAATGTTTCAGATTTTTCAATTACGAATCGTATAATAATAGTTTCAACCAAATTATATCAATATCAATATTATTTATGGTCCCTAAAATTTATATTTATTCTTTTTGTAAACAATATCCTGTAAGTTGTCACTATATTGAGAAATTCAAGGAAGTTAATCCACCAAAGAAGAAATGACGTAAAGAATAATAATTATGTGATGTTTGCTCGAAATGCATAAACCACATATGATTTTCAACAAAATTTAAAAAAAGTCAAACGAAGTAGTTCAAATAGCATCAAAGGTTTAGTTTAAAATTGTGCAATAATTTCTTTTCCTTGTACCTTGTGAAACCATTGTTTTGTTAATGGCGTTTCGATAACAAAGAATTTTTTTGTTAAGTAAATTTTCATTATCATGTAACCTACCTTCTTCATCATCATCAACCAGCCCTTTGCGGCTATTATTGGACATAGGCCTCACATAGGACATTCGGCCCTGTTCTATGCTGTCTGAATCCTATTGTTGGTATTTCTTTTAATGACGTTGGTCCAGCTTGTAGACAGTTTTACTTTATTCCGTCTGATCGTTCGCAGTCTCCACTTGGGCAACCGTTGACTACATCATTTACGCCAGTTCTCCTTCGTAGCTCTTCATTTCGTATTTGATATCTTAGAGTAACATCACTCCATCTTTCTTTGCGTTACTTTAAGCTTCCTGACAGTGACAACTGTTAACCCTTTCACTGTTATTGTCTCTTAAGAGGGACACAGTTGCTTGCTATGTTATGGTGATGGTACAGTGAAAGGGTTAATATTAAAGTTTCAGAGCCATATATTATAACCGGCAGCACGCACTGATTGAAAGCCTTTCTTTTCAAATACATGGAAATATCGCTCTTGAAAATGTCTTTAAGTTTCCCATAGGCTGCCCATGCGACAGTGAGCAGATGGCTCACTCTCGCACTCTTTACTTGATGAACACCACTTGAAGTTAGTATCGTGAACGTAGTAAGCTATATAAAGGTAGACGACTGAAAGTTATATTAAACACTAGGTTCTTCTCCCGTACATTTGAACTGCTTGAAGAAACTTACACTTTTCTGCAAGAGAGAATGGTCATAAATACTTCATGTGAATTCAAATGCTTATGGTTCCGTATTTCCTTTGCGATAACCTAAAAAGCAAATATCGCGCAAGTTCGATGTAAAACATAAATAAGCGTAATAGTGACAAGCTTATTCCATGCTTCCAATACACAAAAATTGAATAAAATAAACTTCATGGGATGTCAGTTTAACTTTGATAGCCATAATATGGTGCATAATGATATCTGCGTAGATAACGAATGTAGTTCAACGCAGCAAATAGTTAAAACAAATAGTTTCTAACAGGACGATGTACCTCTAAATTGAAGGGGTCGGGAGAAAAAAGTGCCAAGCATCATGTTTGTTGTTTTGAGATATAGCAAGTTGAAAGTTTGGCTAAATCCATAAATAACATTTTAGTGCAGACAACAAACCAAAGTTTTTTAATACAAAGGATGTAGATGTAGGTAAAAAAAACGCTATTATAAGATAAAAATGGTTGTATAGAAAAATATGCACTGAATAATGTTGCTTGGCATTTTTTCCCCAAAAATAAAAGACATTAGGTTTGTTTGTACTTTTATTAAAACACAAACTGTCATCGACAACAAATACTCTTAACCAAAAAGGTACTTTTCAAATAGGCCTATATTACCACAACATCTTCCTTTTGGTCGTCTACTTCAGCGGAAGACTGTAGGCCATTGTAATATCCATGGTAGATGGGAGGAATGTATTGTATCAAGGATTTGACATCATCTAATTTTTTCTTATTGATTTTGTTGGGCGCATTTCTTTTTAAATGTAGTGCTGGAATAGAACTCCTTCCACGTTTCTTTAGGTTCAACACTAAAAACTCTTTGTTCATCAAGTGTTTGAGTTTCATTTGAAAAGGTTCTTCGCTGTCAAATTTAAAGCAAATAGCTTTGGAAAATCGTGGAGGAGTAACACCATCTGTACAAAACTTGCTTTTTGTGTTAAAGTAGGTCTCTTGCACCCTAGACAAATCGAGGAAATCCTCACTCATCATGCATGTTACGATGAAGTTCAGTGTTTTGTTCCACACTTTGCTACTATCTCTCTCCATTGCCCAGGACTGTACACATTTTGGCAGTGCTTGGTATGATACTTTTCTATTTTTGAAAAGTCACGGTCTGATGGAAGATAAGTATGCCCAGTTATCAGGAAGTAATGTTCTATTGTTTTAAAACGTTTACTAGCTACAAGGTGTGACCAAAGCGACATTATGTTCCAATTTTTATTTTGTCCTCCGTAGTTGTCGGTAAATATTACCAACTTCCTTGCGTGGACATTTGCTACTAATAAGTACTTTACAATACAGCTTCCTATTTCATCACTACCCCTTTTTCCAACTGATTCATCCCACATGAACATAAAACCTTGTCCAGAAGTGCAGTTATGGATACCTACGTTATAGGTCCACAGTTTCCTGCAGTAAAATGTAGGTCCACATGACAGTTTTGGTGTAGGGAGGGTTTGTTGCTAAATAATTGGGATCGCTGTCACTGTCATCAAATTCTTCATACAAGTCTTCTAGGTTTTCATAATAATCTTTAAGATTTCTAACACATTTCCTCTTTCTCTCCATTTCTCATGAGGAGCTTGACACTGTCTTCCCCAAAACTTTGCAAACAACCAGTTGAGGTAATAAAATGCAATGCAAATACAGAGCAATCTAACGGCAATAATTGAAATCTAAACAGTGCTGCTTGTAATTTGTTCAATTTACTCATAGACAGCACTGCTAAATTCGCTTAGGCCAAAATGATGCTTGGCATTTTTTTCTGCCGACCCCTTCAATTGAAGAAGTGGGCCATCGTGGAAAAACAAAGTGTAACAAATCATCTTCTCTCTCTTAGACCTGGCGGTCTGTTAATGTTGAAGTCGTCGTCGGAGGACCTCCTAGAATCTGGACTGCCAGTTGTCCTAACATGTTTTGGTGGTCTTTTTGGTAGATGGCTTAACATCGTAGTACCACTCTCTTATCCGTTGTATGCTCTTTCGTACAACGTCCTTTATCCCGCACTGTTCTTTTTCCGTCTTGTAGTATACCATGCGTTGTTTATTTCTTCCCAAAACTATGGTTACATGTGATTGAGGGCGTATATATTAATTTTTCGTTCCCTACAGACTCTTTAGCAATATCTTATATACTGATTTTTATTTGCTGCCAGTACTTCTCGACTTCACATTTGTTTGATTTATGTTGTGAGTGTTTTGTAGTTTATTTGCCAGTGTTAGTTGAACGTTCTATTAGTATTTTGCATAAAACTAAGTTTCATCTAGTTCTACTAGGTCAGTACCTAGGTTGCCTGATCTTAGGGCCCTCACATTTCATATAATTAATCATGGATCGTTGTTCTCTAGTGTTTTAGAAAATATACTTATGCTTTATTTTCTGCGGAAAGTATGTATTATTAATTCTCAGCTCATTCCTGGTGTAGAAATTAATAAATAACTGGTTGTATTTCAGTTTTAAGTTGAGGATTATTCCACTATTCGTATAATTTTACAGTTGCTATTAAGCTGGTCAATAATATTTTGTAGTTGCGAGTAAATGTTCTGTGACTCGCTGAAGAGTATTGGATATGTCGGGGGTATATGTATTCTGGGTATACCCTTCGTGCAGTATTACAACAACTCTAGAATGTGCTCTCTCTCGTTTTGCCATTCCGCTGTATAATAATATGTAGTCTCTATAGTTAGATATTCCTTACTGATACCCCACATAAATCTGATATTTGTGCTTTTTTATCTTGATACTAATCTCCGGATCTCTATCATTCTATGATGTGGTGTTCCGAGGCTACAATATACAAAAAAAAAAGAAAAACGATATTAGAAAACTGTTTATTTGAATTGATCTATATACATAATATATAATTTATGATTTTTTTTCTTATTTCTAGGACATCCCTCTTTATCATAATGAGTTTTGTGTACGCAAAACTGCTTATTGTCGTTTGCTTGGCGTACGTGATATCGGACGTGGTCACACACAGCATACCGTTATGGTACTACGAAGGATTCTTCACGTATCTTTACGGCATGAGCATCCTTTTCCTCCTTTACGTGTTCTGCTTCCTTCTCCAAGAAAGTACATGTTGTTCCGGCGAACCGAAAAAGGAAAAAGTCTGCAAAAAACAAGCGAAAGAAAAAGCGCTTAAGGAGAAAGAAAAGAAGAAAGAGGAAAAGGAGAAGAAAAAGGAAGAAAAAGAGAAGAAAAAGGAGAAGAAAGACGATAAGAAGGATAAAGATAAGGACAAGAAGACGAAAAAGCAGGAAAAGGTAAGACATAAGGTTGTTTTTTGTTTTAAATTTTAGATTTCAATCAATTTTATTTCATTCTTGGTGTTTTTTATTATATGTTTAGCTTAGACTTTTTTCTAATCAATAACAAAAAAAAAATCGAATAATCTCCGAATTAAATTACGAGTGGGTGGGTACAGTTTCTTTTATTTTAACCTACTTTCTCGAATTAGTTTATCATCATTTTTTTTTTAAATTTTCTCTTTTGTGTTTGGTTTTGTATTTATTTTGTGTTGCTGAGCATGTTGTGCGTGTAGCGGGAGGTGTTCCCGAAAAAGAGGAAGGACATCATGCAGCAAAGAGCGGTTCTTTCCATACCCAAGGTGAGCAAAAGGTTCGTTGCTAAAAAGTCTCTCTTAGAATCTATCTAAAAAAATAAAGTTTATTACTTTCTTAAAAAAGTCGTCTACCAAAAGTAGTCGGCCAACGCATTCAAGAAAGTACAGAACAGAACATCGCTTTGTTTTCTATTTTTTTGTTAATATTTGTTGTTCATTGTATTGTTGCCGCTTTTTACTTGTTGTTCATCACTAATAAGTGTATAATAAGCACAATATTATTTTGCACCGCTTTAAACATTTCTTATTTGATCGTGCACACTTTTAACAAAATAGTTTTCACCAAGAATTTCTCGAAATAATGATTTTCAAAATGCAAAAATATAACTGTATAAAGGGTTTATTAAATGTTACACAATAAAAACACTTTAATAAATTTTGATAAAAGAATATAGTTTAGTTACTATTTTTAAATTTCGTTTTATGTAATAAATCTAAAAATTAGGTCTTTGTAAATGTTACAACGCCAAAATATAAAATGAAACTATGAGAAAGGTTTTTGAAAACCGTTTAATTATAACTAATTCCCATATGGTGTATGAAAAAATGAATATATCATCTCAATGATAATATACACAACTTTGTAACGTTAACATTACATTTTGAATCTTCAGCGACACCAAATTGATTTACATGAGTTTAAAAACTGGATAAGATAGGTTCATACTGACTTGAGAAATTGTTAGTACGAAAGGATTTTTTAAGAGCCAACTGAATCTGTAATGTAGTCCCTCATGCCAAACTGTCAAAAATCTAACCTACATATTGGAATACAGCGGAACAAACTCTTTTTCTTCCAGCGACTTTTCAATTACATCTGTGATCCTGGGAATCTGATCAATAATTGATTTTCCACAGCCTTTCAAATATCAGAAAAAACATTCTGATGCACTGGTTGAATAATTTAAAAATGGCACCATAATCGAGTTTTATACTGTTCTTATTAACTTGGTGTTTAAGTTTTTAAAGTCTCGACTATATCTATAATTTGTACAAATCGAAAGGGACCCGAAGCTAATCCCACATAGCGTATGCATATTATTAGATTTGGACACATACCATTTCATTTCTTTTTACTGATGGTAATTACCTTTCTATAGAATTTTCGATAGCTTCGCAGTTCATCAAGAAAATCCAGAGTGGAAGTATCCCTATTAAATCTTGTTTGTTAAGGGAAACCCATAATGGGTTTGGCGTATCTTATGCGAAAACCATTTTATTTCTATCGAATTTTTATTACATTTAATAAATATATGGTAAATCGCGGAGACATCCTTGTCATTATTAATAAATGAAAAATCAATACCGTGTACTGCATTATAAATAGTAAATAGCTCTTTATTATTAATGCATTGTTCGAAACAGTTTTTTGAAAACATTATCTCAATTCTGTCGATTTAAAAAAAATAACGAAATGGTCAGAGAGACCTTAACCAACATAACAGATGTTACTTTGTGTATTTGCAGAAATGGTCTTTTACAAGGCCGCCAAATATGAATAAAACGCATAAAAAAACCAACCGCTGTAGGTTTTCACAATACATATTTGAAATCATCTGCAACAATCAGTTTCATGAGTTATTTTCCTAACTTATTAGGATTCTCCGATAATGCATCAGGTCATAATCGGACAAAAACGGTGTTAATAGTAATAATTTGAAATTATTGTAGTACACAATTTCGAAAATCTCTGTTTTAATCTCAACCGATAACTTATAAAAGTCAAAAAACACAGGGAATAAAAATTGTTACATCTTATCCACATGCTTTGTTATTGCCCATAAAACTAGGCAGATTATTTAATAAATTAGAAGAACAACTGATATTATTTGGTCGCCTATATTTCTTAGCTTTTTAACTTTTCTTTTCGTGCTTTCCAAGCTTCTATAAATAGAGAGTCGTTGTGTTGGGACTAGTACAGCGGATGAGCTTAGAATTTTGATTCAATATATTACTGTCACATTTAATAAAACTTTTAAGAACATATTTATAAAAAACATTTTTTTGAGTTTTCCGAAAGTTCCAAATGTATTTCCTTCCTTTATTGTCAGATGTGTGCTTTATTTGTTATGTTATGCCACATGATATATTTTTTGCTATATCTTCTCTATCTATTTGTGTCCAAAATGTAAACCATTCTTGCATAAATGAAATTTCACATCTTCCAGCAGTGAAGTTGATGTTAGCTCTTTTAACACGTTGTTGCTAATTTAGTAGTGGATAACTTACTTTGGAATTGTATAATACAGCAAGTCGTCGAGTCCTTCTTGATTTTCTTAAATATATTTTTGTCTCTAGTGTTTCAAGAATTTAATAATGTAATACCAAAGTCAGAATGAAAGAATAATACTTTTTGCATATTCAAGATTAAAGCCAAGATAGGACTTATTTACTAGATAAACTTTTATTTACTATTGTATCTTTTCATCCTCACTTTTCTCTCTTCCACGAAAGCGTTATAAGTTTAATACAAGAATCGCGTTCACAGTGAGAGAAATTCGAATTAGGTAGAAAGCAAATTGATTATGGTCGGATAATGAATCTGATGTCTTACTCATGATATTTTGTAGTGTTTCAATCACTTTCCCTGCTGGTATCTTCAGTGCCATTCATACTTCTTCAAACGTGGTTGTGTTGATTTCTCCTACATCATCTTTGTTCACATTGACATTTTCTTAGTGTGGACCACATTGAGATTCGATGGCGTTAACAAAGGTTTCAGCGTTGTTCTCTGTAGTAAGGCAAAAAAGCGTTCTCCGATTGTTTAGTATTTGATGATTTTCCTAAAGGCTCATTGAGTTTCGCCAAGCATTTGATGTTTCGTCCCAACGAGGGTTGTTTAGATCTGCAATATGAGTAGATGTAGATATATTTGACATTGTGAGAGGGATCTGGCGTTCACTGACAGCACCTTCACATGTAGTTTTTGTAGCATATTAATTCCTTAAGGAATCTTAAGATCGATGTTGCTGTAAATCCTTGGAACACACAACTAAAGAAATTATGCGATCTGTCCGACATCGCATAATATTTAATAACAGTATTAATCTTTCTAACAACAATTTTCATCAATTTAAATGTTTTACAATGGGGCCGTTACCCTCAATCGAATAGACAGATCAGATCGTCTTTCAAAAAATCGATAAACTATGTAAAAATAGGATTGGTAACATTTTCAGATCTTAAAATTGTTTAATTTTTGCAATAATTAATACTAAAATTCAAAATCTCCTCTATAAAAGCTTTGGTGACGTTTACGATGTTTTCGCGTAAGATCAAGAAGACGCAAATGTGCATCGTTCGGATCTCTTCTTCTAGTGCATAAGATTCTCGTGGCATCTCGCTCATACTCCTTTTATTAATTTTTATTTGAACCAACCGCGTGCGAAACGACGGTGACGTCTTGAACGTTTTTTCAAAAAAAACTAAAGCCCAGTTTGAAAAATAAAAAGTTATAGAAGTCTTCAAAAAAATGTGTAACGACCCCATTGGGGATATACTACTAGTTATGTTATAAGCGAAAATTAATAGTTATATCTAAACATTTTTCAAAATAAAGAGATATATGTTATGTTAACTTTTAGTAATTTTGGCTTGTGTACATTTGTTCTAATTGTCTATTTAAATTATATTTTTATCATGCTCCATAAAGAATTTCCGTTAAATCTCCGTTAATTATTAACAATAAAAACCTGCACAGTTGGATTTAAAAAATCATAACAACGATGTTTATTAAAAATAAGAAATTATTTATGGCACATTAAGTCTTTATGAAATTTGCTTTAAAATGTTCTGTATTTCATGATGATATCTTCATTTGTTCTTCAGATACGATTTTTTTAAATTTATGTATCATCTGTATAGCAATCAAACATGCAGAATTAGATTTAAAAAATTATACTTTAGTATAAAGCGTGATTCCAGCAATCAATATGTCATTTTTAGTTCTTTATAAAGTTGCTATTCTGTGAAATCTACTTTATCAGAATTTGGAAAGGTTTCTTACCTTACTTTTTATTTTATTTTCTATCAAAATTTTTGCAATCTTCACTCCGTGAAATATAACATGCTACGACGTATTTTACCTTCATCGGCCAAGATAGATTTGTCAAGTTGTCTGTACTGTAATTAATTCGAATAGGATGGATGTAAACGTCATTCACGCTGTCACAATATTTCTATATACATTTGAAACTCACACTAATGTTAAAAATTTTTAGATTAGCCTTTTGAAAATCATTATGATTTAGAGACGTTCTGTTGTACTTTCATTTTTTATTTTGATTTGAATTTGTGGGGCCCCCGTCCCAGAGTACTTACCGTCGCAACTCTGAGGGGGTGGTAGATGCCGGGTTGAGTGGCGGGGCGCCGGTTCCGGTGCCCGTTACGGAACTTGAGGCCGAAATTGAACAACGTGCTGTTGGTCCTCAGGAGCAGCAGCAGACGGCGATCGTCCAGCCGAACAATGGTGCCGATTTGGAACTGGGTATTTCGAAAACGCGACGTAAACGGAAGACCACCCAAAACGATCAGAGTCATGGCAGTTTTTTCCTTCGAATTGGAGCAATCGGTAATTAACAAACAAATAAAACTTAGTAATCATTTAAATTTAACTTTACTAACACATTAAGTTTTATTATTCATTCGTAGCTTTTGGATTGGGAACAATGATCTACACAGGACTTGAATTTGGATCGTTTTTCGAAGTGCCATTTGAGTCACCGTGTTATATGATTCTCCACGGTGTTAATCCAGCTTTACAAATGGTGTTCACTTTTATGCAGATGTATTTCATATTTATGAACTCTAGGGTAAAATTAAAAAAGAATTGTTGCAAATTTATTGTTAATTTTTCTATTTCTAGCTAAATATCCATCGTTTTAAAGTCATTGCTCGTTTCGGATTAATGCACGTTTTCGCCACCAATATCTGCGTTTGGATACGTACTTTAGTACTTGAGTATATGAAGGAAATCACGGTTTACCATAAGAAATTTGATGACAAATCTGGGCAAAACATAATCGCAGGTAAACATTCTTATCTACGTGAGATACTTTATGATTATATTAGTGATTTATGTTGTTTCTCATCGCTTTAATTTCTTATTATTACTTTTGCCACTTTGTGTTTATAGACAGCATCCGTTCGCACAATTTGCGAAACGCAAACACAGTTTTACGCACTCACGTAGCCATACCAGACGTCATTATTACCACCGCATCTACTATTTTATCCACTTTAAATACAACAGCTCAAGACATCACCAGTACTACTGCCAAAATCGTTTCTACAACCGTTAAAAGCATACCTATGACTTTACCCACCATACCAACAACCACAGAGCGTAAGTATCAAGATTCTTTTCGTGCTTTAGGTTGCATCAAAAATAACTAGATTCAATTAGATTCAGAAATATTTTTAGTGCTGACACCCTACGTATATGCTATTAATACTACCCAATAATACTAAAATAAATAATACTAACACAGTATTTCTTGGTTTCAAATTTGGGCTTGCGTTTAAGGTTTCACAATTCCATCAACCATTCCTACAACGCTTTATCGAATGTACAGAACGATTCCCACGACATTTAAAACAAGTACCACCACAACTATTCCAACCACAACCCGTCCAACAACCATACCTTTCATTTTTTCGACCACCTCAACGGTTCCAATCACTTTACCAACATCCGCCGCCACCACCACAACAACAGCTGCGAGGTTTTGGGATGCGATCACTTCATCTTTATCCACGTCCACTTACAAGAGCTTCCTTAACTATCGCAATTTTAACTTTGAAAATAACATAGCTAATGGTAAATTAACCGTGGACCATAACAATATTTTGGTGGTTAAATTGTATCTTATTTTCAGTTGCTGAAGATTCATTGAATATTAACGGTTCTGAGGTGATTGATGAGTTATTTCCTCAAGCGTTGATATGGAACGGAAATGGAAATGGCAATTCTAGTCTTTCTGAAAATATTTCGTTGGTTGCTGCAAGTTGTAAAAGAGTTAATATAATGGGGACGATTGTTCAAGATTCAGCTCCTTATTTGTATCCGTTCATTATCGAATATTCGTTAATAGGTGCTGCTGTTATTTATGTGATGTGGAAACATATTGGAAGGCATCCAAAGTACATTCTACAAAATTATCTCAAAATACTCATTTATATTGATGTACTTTTTAAATTTTTTTCCAGATATATTACTGAAGAAGATTTGGAACATAGATTAGAAGTGATGCTTTCAAGAAGGGCTGTTGCTTTGGCTCATGCTCAACAAGGACGCGTTGATTGTGTTGGAGCATCAAAAGGATTGTTTTTCGGTCTGCTTCTTCTCGTGGGATCATTAATCTGCTTGATTTTATATTTCGTCATGATTAACCATCGTGATTTTGGAATGTTGGCCGTTTATCTAGCTGATGTTTCTCATTGCGTTGTAATGGCGTTGAGTATAATTGCGATTATTGTTGGATTTATCCGGTAAGATTCTTTTTAATGATTGCTTTTATTAATTTTTTTTTTAATTTATGGTATTCGCATTGATAAATCTGTATAAACGAAGAAAATGTATGAACTGAATTGTCATTGTTGTTAACATTTGGAATTTATGATTTTAAATAGTATATATTAAAATTGTTGTCAATCTCTATTTTTGAATTTGGATTTTAACATTTGTTGAAGTTTAGTGGCAAGCACACATTTAACCCATGAGAACGACGAATACAAGAATCAAAACTAACTGCGAATATTAAGAGCTGGTGTTAGTGAAAATGTGAAATGAGAAGGAGACTCCAAAAACAGCGAAATTCATAAAATTATGAACCGTTGCTTCCACCAAAAAGTAGACACTTTTCTGTATTATATATGGAATTTCCATATTAATTATCCAAGAAATACATTTTTTCATAAATTTTTAAAGTTGAGTCTAAAATATGAAAAACTCGAAGAATGCTATAAAAAAATTAAACAACTCACTATAGCGCTCGGGCAAATACATCGGAAACCAAAAGGATGATGCGTACCAACGAGGTGGCAATTTTAAGAGTAACATTGGAAACTCACTATAGGATTAGGAAAAAGTAAGAAAGTTCGAGAGGAATACAAGACGGAAGATGTGGTATAATGAATGCAGAAAACTCAAGAATGAATACGTTTCATGAATGAAACGGAATAGACTGTCAAGGATTGCCAAAAATTTCATACCAGCATCTAAAAGATCGCCAGGGCGACCCGGAAAAAGATGCCAAGGAGGAGAGAGGCGGGAGTTAATGGCCTATAAAAGGGGGTCATTTAAAAATTCTTTCAAATTTTGATATTTGCAGATAAGTCACCAAAGTTGTATAAGGGACGTAATTCGACCGCTTAAAATGTAATAAGACCGTTCTTTATTTTAATCAGGCGGCTAGAGTATATGTAAAGAACGAACATTCAGAGGAGGTACAGGTAAAACGATGACTAAGGCAAGGATGTTTTCTCTCGCCATTTGTATTACTATTGGTGTTACCAGGCTGAAGGGAGCGGCAGCTCTCGTTACCGCGACCTATAAGATCTATTGTAACTTTAGCCCTCCAAAAGTTTAGGGTAAGTGTAGATCTTGAATTAACCTTAGTATTGTTCCAAAGTCTTGTTCCTTTATATCAGTAAGTGTTAAAAGAGCTTTTCCGAAAATGTTGTGTCTTAGGCGTCCTCTGGCAATGCAATTACACAGTATATGTTCAGCCGTTTTTGACTAGTCGTTGCAAAGTCGACAAGTCCTCAGCTTATCCAATGTGGATGAGGTGGTATTTTAGAGGCGCACGGCTTGTCAGGAAAACTGAAAGCGTCCTTAGATCCCTTTTACTGAGGCATAAAATCTCTTTGGTTTTGCGACGGAGTTATCATACTCTTCGCTTTTCTGTGACCTAGAAGTTCTTTCCAGCGTAAGGCTACCTTTGAGGCCTCCCAAGTGTTGGTACTTGATTTAGGTGGCTTTTTTTGTAGTCCACAACCGGGTTGGGGTCCAATGAAAGACGTTTTCGGTGCCTCTTGGGCCAGCTTGTCCGCCTTCTCATTTCCTTCAATGTCTCTGGAACCCGCCATAGAGTAACATCATTGCTTCCCGTCCTTCGAAGGGGACGTTAAGCGTCGGTCCCGGCAACCAGTCATTTACTTCTGGTTGTCGTAATCTCCTTGGTAATCACCCATGTGTGTAAGAGGTTTGAACACATGGCTGAATGCGCCCTTGATGCTACACCTCGTGGGAGCGTACCCGGACTAAGCGTACGCCCCCAACGGACCAAGGGTTGATGAGCAGCTTTGCTCCACCTTGTTTCGAGGGGGTCAGCGAGTGAATGGTATCATTGAGCGGCTGAAAATGTCTATGGATGCACCTTTCTGTCCCTTTTGAAGGTTCAAAGCGGTGTANAACTTTTTCGGTGAATCAAAGTCGTCCGTTATTGGTCGTTGTTAAACAGTTCCCGTGCGGTTATTATAAACATTTCGAAAAAAATTTATTAGAAAGATCGCTTCAGAATAATGTATTCTACAACCGTATAATGCTCTGATGCGGAAGATACGGGACACGCTGTACATTAAAATTGTTGTCAATCTCTATTTTTGAATTGAGATTTTAACATTTGTTGAAGTTTACACATTTAACCCATGAGGACGACGAATACAAGAATCAAAACTAACTGCGAATATTAAGAACTGGTGTTAGTGAAAATGTGAAATGAGAAGGAGACTCCAAAAACAACGAAATTCATAAAATTATGAAATATTGAAAAACCGTTGCATCCGCCAAAAAGTAAACACTTTTCTTTATTATACAGGGTGATTCACATAAGAACCGACACAGAGCAGGGACCTGCTCTGTGTCTACACTAAGCAGACCGAGCAGGGACATGCTCTATACTAAGTTGTACACCTGAGGAGTTATAGGCCTTCAAAGTTGGGTCTTAAATTTTTAAAAAGTTCAATATCGTCGTAGTACATTAAGCTATAAAAACCAAATTTGGTATACGTTATGAGTAGCGCTCGGATTTTTATGCAGTCAAATTATAGGAAATATGCGCATAAATATGCAACCTTTTTATTCGAAATATGCAAAAAATATGCAAAAATATGTGGAAATATGCAAAAATATACCTTTCTTATAGTTGTTATCAATCTATTTCTATCACATGTTTGTATATGTTTTGCAGTTTTTACATGTTGTTCTATTTGGGACTTCCTCTCACATGTTATCTTAAAAGAGAATAATCAAAAAAGTTAGCCATAGATACTCTAACGAGTCTAACAGACTAAAAATTTTAATCTGATTGTGAGACTATAAAACAGATTCGTATTTTTCATTGTCGATTGTCTAGAAACATATGTAATAACATATCCCAAGAAAATGGGACATCAAATTTAATATAGTTTTATTTAGTTTTAATTTAACAATTGCTAAAAAGTTACGTCATAATTTTTAAAAAATACAGCTTTGGCACAAACTTTACATAATAATTCCTCATTATTTAAATTTAGTTCGGGATAACTTTTTATCCACTGGGACACAAGACACTATATCACTTTAGACATTGTTGTTACAGATTGGTAGATTAATGTTCACTCACACTCAACACAGCCGCAGTAACTATGGTTGGGGATTTCTTTAAACTTAAACTCAACTGCGCTAGGGATTCCCCGCATGTTTCTGTGAATCGTTGTAAACAAGAAATCATCCCTCAATCCAAAAATATCCTGTTATATTTATTTTATTAAGCAACAACAAACAAATCTAGTAAAATGACAAAATATGCGAAAATAAACTAAGATTAGAACTAAAACTAGAACTAATAACACTAGAAACTTTCGGGTTTTGCCGTGCGTCTTTTAATAAGAGGTTTGACGTTTCGGATGCCATGTTGCAACCTTCTTCAGAAACTGGTTCGAAGTGATGCGAAAATATGCAGTAAAAGGCCAATTTATGCAACAACCAAAAAAATTGTAAAAATATGCAAAACATGCAATTTTATTATTGTACCATCTGCCTTATTTTTATGTAATTCGCGCGAAAACAAATTTTTAAAAAAATATTCCAGAAAATAAACAAGATGCATTTTGCTTAAAATCCGAGCCCTAGTTATAAGTGTACCAAGGGTATTAACTTATAGTAAATTGAACTCAATTGAGGCATTTCAAAGGGTTGATTAAGGGTGATGGTACCCTAAATGTTGACAGATTTTTTTAACCTTTTGGCAGATTTAATACATTACTACTTCATTTCATGTGGAATTTAATACTAAAACTTTTCTTACTCTTAAGCCGACGTTACACGTCGCATTCGACTGCTATGGCTTGTAGCTACGGAGGGGTGTGGTTGGGCGTGGTTTGACTGCTAGCGTTAAATTGGCGTGTTTAATCGTCAAATTTCCGTGATATACCGAAAGTAGAAAATTTTCTAGCCTTCGCAGTAGCTATGCTCGCAGTCATTACTATGGTAATAGACAACCACGCTCCTCCGTAGTTGCCGCCATAGCAGTCAATTGTGACGTGTAACGTCGACTTTATTATTTTATAAAAAACTTTGTCGTTTTCATAAAAAACTTAAATAAAAATTCAGTAGTCGGCTATGAAATTGTACGTCAAACTTGACAAATAGGCATATATATACTATCTCCTATATCGCTGACTAAGGCAGCAAAAGAGTGTAAACACTAGAGTGCAGATATATGTATATATATATCTGTCTCTGTCGTGCCCCCGTCTACTTAAGAGACATGCGTGAACACGTGGTGAGTACGCTTTTATCTTATTGGACGGTGAATTAAAAATTAATAGCAGCTGATGACCTTGATGTTTATAAAACACTAAATAAATGTTTGACATAAACATAACCTAAAATCTAAATATTTAGTTATGTATATTATAGGTTTCATGTGTATAATAACATAATTATTAACATATTTTAGGACTAAGCAATTTAAAATGTAATTATTATTTGTTAAGAAAGTGAAGAAAATTTGTTAAAAGTAAAATAAAAAAGAAAAAGAGTAGNCACATGGCTGAATGCGCGTTAGCGCCCTTGATGCTACACCTCGTCGGAACGTACCCGGACTAAGGGTACGCCCCCAACGGACCAAGGGTTGATGAGCAGCTTTGCTCCACCTTGTTTCGAGGGGGTCAGCGAGTGAATGGTATCATTGAGCGGCTGAAAATGTCTATGGATGCACCTTTCTGTCCCTTTTGAAGGTTCAAAGCGGTGTAGAAATTTATAGCATGTACTTCTGCTTGCAAAATGGTTATGGGCAATTTAATGCGGCTCTCTGGTCCAGTAATGCCCATGTCTACTCCGGATTCAACTGTCTTTGAAGCATCCGTGTACCAGGCAAGGGCTCCTCTTGTTAGTTGAGGCCACCCTTCGTCTAATCATCTAAATATGACCTTTACGGCTGGTCTAAATTGTATTCTGTCGGTCCGTTTTAATTTCAATCAAGTGATTTATACATGGGTCCTTGAGGCTTTCGAGGTGTCCTCTGAGGTTACCCTGCATCAGCTTGAGTGAAGAGCATGTTTTGAGTGATAAGGCACTTAAAGCTGCCTCCTTTTGTATATGTATATAAATGAAGTGGCGTGAGACCGAGTAGGGCTTCAAGAGCAACTGTCGGACATGATTTCATTGCACCCGTTATGTTAAGACATCCTAACCGCTGTATTTGTGCCAACTGTCCGAGGAGGCAGCGGCAGATCTAGTTAGCCTTAATGGCTTTTTTCCTTACATTCCGAGTGATTCGATTTTGTTTGGATTAATGCTGAGCCCGTTGCTTCTACATCAAGTGCTGGTAAGTCTAGAGTTTTCTGCATTAGTTGAGTTATGATTATGCCACATTTACCTCGGATTGTGATTACCAGGTCATCAGCATACCCCTGAATTATAAATCCATTTTTGGTTAAGATGTTCATCAAGTCGTCAATTACCAGGCACCATAGAAGAGGTGGGAGCACTCTCCCTTGGGGACATGCTCTTAGCGCCTTAATAGTCAACGACTCGCCTCCTAAACTGGCTTTGAAAATGACTTTTCAACATGGCTCTACACCATTTGATTGTCGAAGCATTCTCGATGGATTCGTAGGAGGTGTTATCAAAAGCATCCTCGATGTCTATGAAAGCCCATAGGGCTATCTCTTTGGTTGCAATTGTCTCCTCTAAAGTGCTTGTCAAAGCATGGAGAGCAGTAATTATTGATTTTGCTTTCTGATAAGCATGTTGACTCGGATGGAGTGGATTAGTGACAAGCACTCCATTCCTAAGGTATTGATCAATTCCCTTTTCCATCCCTTTGAGGAGAAATGAAGTTAGGCTAATTGGTCTGTATGCCTTGTGATCGACCAGATCGAAGTCTTTCAGATGTGATGTTATAGAAGAATCCTAAAACTGCAGTATCGTCTTCGCGTGAACTACAAACTGTTATTCAAGGGAAGATACGGGGCAGAAGAAGTATAGGGAGAAGGCGCATATCTTGGATGAATAACGACAGTGGTACAACTGTAGTTCAGTGAAATTGTTTAAAACTTTAACATCGAAAGTAAAATTTGACATGATGATTTCTCTCTTAAAGAAGACGGTACTTAAAGAAAAAGTTGCATTTTAAAATATATTTATAAATTTATGCACATTAATAACAAAAATCAGATCAAAAACTGAAACTAACTTTGAGTTTATTTTTCTTTATTTTAAATATATAAACTAAACCTCCCTCACTAAACCGAATTGGCGTGGCAAGGTTCAACTTGTTGTCACATGCCAAGAGCCACTCCTTACAACAGTTCAGTTCTTTATAATACGTATCAAGGCGGAAATCATAGATTCTCTTAATGCTAGCATGAAATTTATGATTTTGTTTTATAAATATATTTAAATACTTTTGATTTTATTATTTTTTTTTATTTTATTTTTATTTTTTGTTGTTTTCTGTGTTGTTCTTTTCTAATTTAGGACCCGCAAGATGAAATCGGACCTTAATTTCAGAGTTCAATCATTGAAATTCCGCATCGAAGAACAAAACGATCTTAACGACATACTCCTTAGAGTTTCCGCTTTCGGGTTGTTTCTTTACGCCACTTTTACTGTAATTGCCGGTACTTTAAAACCGACTACGAGAGAACCGAATTTGTTAATTATGATGACCGGAACTTTAGCAATCGTACAGGTAACGTTGTAAATATATTTTTTTTAGAAAATATTTGACTTGAATAGTCTTTTTTTTTGTTTAGGTTTTACTTCAATTATTATTTATTGCTGATGTGTCACGTCGCCGAGTTCATCTTCCGGAACACGACCGATCAAAACCAGGACGTCAAGTTGTAACATTCTTACTAATTTGCAATATAACTATGTGGATTATATACACGTTCGAAATGAAAAAGGTTGAAGCAAATCCAATAATACCACGTTTTTATGGTTTTCTTGCGTGGGCGTTTATCCAAAGATTAACGCTTCCGTTGTGTATTTTCCATCGTTTCCATTCGGCGGTTACGCTAGCGGAAATATGGAAAACGAGCTATAAAGCAAGGATTGAATAAAACGATCTTTAAATGAAACGATAAGATTTTGAGCTCAAAAAAAAACAATTTAATAGAAAAAAGTAAAGTTTAATGAAAATAAAAAGAATACATAGATACACAAATTGTTGATATTTTGCTCAGAATATAGTTTTTGGTGTAAATAATTTCGACATATCTACAAATTTTAAATGTGGTTTGAACTGTTTTTTGCGGTTTTAGCACACAACACATACAAAAAAGAATATATATAAAAGAATAACACAACATTTCTTTAAAAAAAGAGTATTCCAGAAAAAAAATTAAAAGAGGTAATTTAAAGATTATATTATACTTAATAATGAATAGTGAGTTATTTAGAAATCAACTACTAATATTAATGATAAATGTGTGGTATTTATTAAAGAAAATTACAAAAAAAAATAATAAATTAAAAATCATAAAGGAATCATTTTTTCTACCTTGTACAAAGCCATAGAAATGTTTTCGCCCTTAAATTTCTACTTTTATATATTTAAAAAAAACCAAAAAGGAAAACATCACTAAAAGAAAAAAATCTCTAGGAAAAAGCCCATAGTTTTTAATAACTTTTTAACTTACTACTATTGTAAATTTTTGTGGACCATCAGAAAATTATAAACAAAACGAATAAGTCGGATTTATTTTAAGATAGGTTTTCGTTGAATGTTTACCAAACCTATAACAAAAATTTACCAAACCTTTAACAAAACTACCAAAAAATAATGAAATGCGTCACACTAAAAACGAACGAACTTAACACAAACATTCCTAATCTCACCAAATATTGTTCGTTATAAGGTTAAGATTTTACAAAACAAGAATATGAAACCAAACTTTTATAAACAATGTGATTCCATTATAACAGTATACAAAATTAATAATTTTATTATGGGTGTATCATTAATATATATGTTATTCGCAATATCCGAATTTGGTCAATGCACGAATTTTTTAAACAAACTTACTGATGTTGAACTTGATTTTCATTCATATTCTTGTTGGCAGCAATCTTACCGTCGATGCTCCATGGTAGATGTATTGAATAGTACTAAGTCTGTCTGCATCATGACCAAAAAATCGAATAATGAAAAGTTTCACTTTGATATCTTACTTCGTTCTGATTGGTAAATCATTTGATTAATTACATATATGTACAAATGTATTAACCCAGCCCAACTAAATAACTACAGGGTTTTCCAATAAGAGGTGTTATTTTGATATTCAAAGAAAAATGCCATTTTTTAGTATAAATGATCGGATGTTTATTTCATTATAAAGAAGAAGGTATGCCGTTAATAGTGGAAAATAACATTAGGCAAATGACCACCACGACTACGCTTACAGGACAATATCCTTTCCATGAAATTTTCCATAACCAAATTGCAAAGTGGCTGCCCTATGTCCTCAATAGCCTCATGAATTCCATCTTTGAGGTCTTGAATCGACACTGGGCTGTTGGCGTACACCTTCTCTTTCACGTGGCCCCAAAGGAAGAAGTCGCAAGGTGTTAAATCACAAGATCTCGGTGGCCAATTGTGATCACCTCTTCGAGAGATAACACGGTCCGGAAAATTTTCCCGTAAAAGATCAATGGTTTCGTTGCTTGTGTGGCACGTAGCACCGTCTTGTTGAAAGTAAACGTTGTCCACATCAATACCATTCAATTCCGGCCATAAAAAATCATTAATCATCTCTCGATAGCGCAAAATATTCACCGTAACTGTTGCTCCAGCCTCATTTTCGAAAAAGTAAGGTCCAATGACTCCGCCGGACCATAAACCGCACCAAACAGGCACACGTTGAGGATAGAGAGGCTTTTCAACAATAACTCTTGGGTTTTCCGAGCCCCAGATGCGACAATTTTGCTTGTTGACGAAGCCACCGAGGTGGAAATGGGCCTCATCACTCAAGATGATTTTTCGATGGAATTCCGGATCATTTTCATGCATTTCAACGACCCAATCAGCAAAGACACGACGTTGTTGATGATCGGACGGCTTGAGTTCTTGTGTTAACTGAAGTTTATAAGCCTTAAGACCCAAATCTTTATGCAAAATACGGTGTAATGACGTTTGTGGAATGCCTAATTCCAAAGAACGACGAGGAATGTGTTTTCTTCAACACTTTCGGCTACAGCAGCAATATTCTCGGCTGTTCTTGAGCGACGTGCACGGGTTTTATTCTTCACATCACTAACTTGTCCCAACAGCTCGAATTTTTCCACCAATTTCTGTATTGCGGTCCGACAAGGTGCTTCACGACGACCCAAAAATGTTCGAGTTTTACGAACCGTCTCTGCCAAAATTTCACCATTTTTATAGTGAATTTTAATAATTTCAATGCGTTGTTGAAGCGTGTATCGTTCCATTTTTATTAATGGCGTACTTTCTACTTGTCAAATGTCAAAAAATGACAGCTTCAAAAGTGACATCTACCGAAATAACGGGCTATTCAAAATAACACCTCTTATTGGAAAACCTTTATATGGCTTCATCAGTTTTGGGTTCTAAGATTCTGAATGGTGAAAATTATTTCGGTATGGTGTGACACATTTTGCAACATTTGTAGCGTGTTGCGGAGAAGAATAAAACGGTTGAAACAAATTTAATGGACGTAATTCTTCTAGAAATGAAACATCAAAGGTTATAGCGAACGGCATAATGGAAAAAAATAAGATGCAATATTTAATTCTACATGTAGTATGTGAGGAGTTACTGGTTTCTGAAATATGAAATTTTTAATTTTCTTCTTTTTTTGAATTTTACGGCGATTGGCGTTAAGAAGCAGAATTGGATTCGAAAAATCAAAATAACGAGGTTTATGGAAACTAAAAAATTATATAAAGCAGGTTTAAACTGAATTAAATTTCCATTCAAATGCTTTTTATCTCATTCTGATATCTCACTTGGCTTTTTATATACGATTTTTTTATTTTCCCTTATTTTGTTAAACACCACGATTAATATCAAGAACTGCTTCTTGATATTGTTTAATTCAAAAATCAGAACTAGGTTTATAAAAATTGGGAAATAATATAAGGCAGGCTAAAACTAGATTTCATTTCCATTCAAATGCTTTTTATCTCATTGTGATATCTGCCCAAGATTTTGAGATACGAACGAAATTAATGTGTGATCTATCTTGTAGTTAACAATTCTTTCGGCATTATTATTACGGTGATATAGAAGCTAGAAATTGACAATGCACATATTCACTAGTTGAAAAAATATTTTCATGTATTATCTTTTGATTCTGAAACCCAAAACGTTCCGACACAAAGCCAAACAGTGCTTGCTATGTTTTCAACATGTTGTTCTGCGTTACAAAAATGCAAAGCGCGTCAAAATCACTGAGCACGCTTTGCATCTTTGTTTAATCACTTCCAATATATCATGGAACACTAATAAATATAAAAACAGCTTAATCTCGATTGAGTAAAATTTCAAAATTTAAATTTCTTGCTATATTCTATAGGACATAAAAGGGAATACACATTAAAATGGAAATCATTGGAATTATTCTGTTCGGCTTGTCCTTAAAGTTAAACGTTTTGAATAGATTCTCTAAATGCTGGGTATGGAATTTCATATTAAAGAAGTGTTGCAAAAACTATTGGTTTTAGAAACACTTCATATATGCTATTGAAAAGTGAGTAGATTAGAGTATTTTGCCCGGTTACTCGTGCTCCTCCAAAATGCTTAATCTCAGAGGAGTGCCCTTTCAAATATGAGATATTAGTCGAAAAATCCCAATTTTGAGTACTAAATTTTACATGGCAAGGGTATTTGCCAAATCAGCAATAAAAATGGAAATACTAATAGATTGGAGATTAAGGGATGAAGTGAGCAAGAAAAATCCATTCTAACTTGCAAATTAATATCTTTCAACTTCTCAATGTTATGAGTACCATCTATAACGTCAATTTTGTAGAAGCTGAAGTATCATCTTAACTAATTGATAATAAATCTTAAAGAATTGAAGATTTATATATTATTTTAAAGAGAAATCCTTAAACTTCAATCTGAAACACATTTCTTTTCTTAGATTCATTTATGAAGTAATTTATGCTAAAAAATACAGATAATGGACAAATTCAGGTATTGAGAATAACATATACGTTACCTAAAGAAACCTAAGTTAAAAATTACACAACACCTCGTTTTTAATTTCACTCAGAAATTAGGTTTTTATGAATAAAGATAAAATATATAAACACGCCATTTCGTCAAGTTCTGACAAAAATATGCAACAAGTTTGAATACACTTAAATGATTGGCGACATTTTAGTACAGCAACTATCCTATAATATTATTTTTGTAATTCGCGACGGTAATGAAAGCTATTACAGTACTCAAACGGGTGCTGTAATGAGACTTCTTACAGCATCCGATGCTGTAATGAGATTTTAGTAACAGTTTATGGAACCAGTTCAAGTTGGTGACATTGGGTCATTAATTTTTCTAGTTGTTAGTGTGACAATGTTTGTCTATGGACGTTTTTAGCATCGAATACAAGGTCCACAATAATGAGGACATTGAACTCTGAGCAATTTCTCTTATTTTGGAAAGTGTACATGAAACATTTTTGTCAGGTGAAAATATTTTGTATTTTGACAGTTTCTAATTGTCAATTCAAATTTCTATTTTCAAGTGTTATGGTGTTACCAACTGCTACATACCTATTTCTCAGAATGAAAAAGTTCAAGGACAAATACATTTGTATAGAATTTCATATATTTTAAGTGCGATGGTCATTACCACAACGTACTTACATAAATTAATTAGTACTCTGCCAAAAGTCATAATGTTTGTCATAAGAAACCATGTTCTAACACCTCCAACGGCTCAGTACCAGCATATTGTCTGTGATGAAAATTTAAGTACACCAACTACCCTAAATGTTTTCTGACGGTTATGACTGGATCCAGATTCCTGTAGAAGTGCTTGAACAGTCATCTACAAATTCCCCACTACTCAGCCAATAGACTAAAACGCTATTTACATTCAAACTGTCTACCACAGATAACGTTGTGCAGAGTACATTTTAAGTGCGATTGCACTTTGCCAAGAACCATGATCTAACATCTCAAATAGCTCAATACCATCATACTGTCTGTGATGCAAATTATACGAGATCTGCGGCATCTACAATAATTCAATTTTGATTAAGCCAATCATTTAAAGGTATTTATTTTTCCAGAATATGTTCATTGATTGTTATTCTAAAACATAATCAGCACTGTAAGCTACAGAAAAATATCTCACCATCCAGTGATGTTCACGAACCGGTCTCAATTAACCAACTATATATAAACACAGAGTGATCACCAGAGTCGATCGTTCACTATAAACAATGGTTTCTTCAGTTGATGTATGAACATGGTGTCAAATTAAGATCGACCTTAATTAGACACTTTGTACTACATAA